TTTAGAATAAGGAAGTATTCAATCTATGTAGAACAAACCATATAGAATATAATCAGACTTGTAGACCACAGAAAAGGGATTAATGAGTAAAAAAATCTAGCAAACATATAAAATGTCCTCAAGCAAATATTTTGGTCATAGGCCAAATATTTTTTCCCAGTGACCTACAAAACCAGAGCTGACCAATTCAGTTTTTATATGAAATGTTGTGGTTTAAAACTAGCTGGGAATTAAGCTCCAAATAAGATGCGCCCCCTTCACTGTGTCCCCTTCTGGTGAGAGAGGGATGAATGCAGAGCCTATGGGTTGAGATAAAAATTTACTGAAAACAAACATTAATGGAATGAGACATGAACAGTAACAACAAGATTAATAACAAAAATATACAAAAGAGGAGATGATTTACACATAAAGAAGGTGCTCACCACCTTGACTCAGTTCCACATGGCAACTGAGACAAATTAAAATGATGGATGATATTTCAGGATCTACAAGTTGTTTCCAGCTCAGGAGCTAACCAACTACAGGAATAATTTGTCCTTGATTTGATGCATCTTTCTCTGTATTTCCTGAAATTTGTGATATCAAAATAGCTATCTCCAGAAGGAGCTGACTTGGAAATCTTTAGCTGTTAGCAGGAAAATATAAAGAAATAATAATAAATCAAGACTGACAGGAACTATCACCAAAGATAAAACATGGCGTTTTCAAAAATGTACATAAAGGTAAAAAGACTTAAATGAGTCCTTATACTTCTATCAGATTGGGGAAAGTAAATGAAACTTTGAGAGTCATTGTCAGTTAGAGTCTACAGAGATGAAGGAGAGTTCTTTGCTATGGAAGGTGTACTGTGTCTAAGCCTTTCCCATAAGGAAAGATGCCTCTCCCATTTTGAAGTCCTGGAGAGTCCAGCCTGCCTTGAATTTCTATGATGTCTGAGGTAGTGGCAGCACAGGACGGGAAAGAAGTTGCATAAATTGCTCCAGATTTTTAGGTAGCTGAGGTTGAGTGAGATGTACCACAGCAGTTGCAAGTGCTTATAGAAGCTGTCTAAGATGTTTTTACATTCAAAGGTGTGAAAGCAGAGTAAGACTTTTGTGACAGCAAGATACAGAAAGAACCTGGAAGATGTATTACTTTAGACACTAATCACTGAGAATTCTTATAAAATAATTGTAAAGTAATTGTACTAATAATTTGAAATCATAAGTGATATAAGTAAATTGTCTTTTGCAACCAATGAAATGAGGTTTGTCAGATACCAATGAAAGGTGGGCATATTGAATTAGACTGTTGAATGTCTAGAAGGAGATGTTTAAGGATAACTTACTTTATCACCTCTTTTATATCTCTTGGACACCTTAACCTGGTTTGACAAAGTGTTTGTACATTTGCAATAAATAATAAATTAGAAACAAGATTTTTGTTCTTTAAAAATATTTTATAAAAATATTTGGACTATTTTTGGCATACATGTTTAAATGAATGGGTGAATTTCATAAACAATACTAGTGTGGCTCATCAGAGTCTGACAAACAGAATTAGGTGTCAAGTAATTAAACAGTTGGGTAGTCTATTATTGATTTAGGTTCATAATAAAAATTTTATATTACCTATTGTATTGTACAGGTGTTGTTCATATTTAATTTTTTTTTTCTGGAATGAATGTTATAATTTCATAGTTATTTTAGCAGCTAGACTATCCTTGTCCTGTTTAATTGCCTAGTGGATTAGTGCCCAGTATAATAGCAGACTTTTATTTTTTTGAGTACTATTTCTAGAGTGGATGATCTTATTTTTATCAATATATTTTAACCATTTTCTATTTTTCTTTTTTCAGGGTCATCCAATTTTTTTTAACTCTCAGGTGTCCCAACTATTAATAATGCAGAATATTTTTGACATTTTTAAGTCAAATTTACTGAATCAGTACATAAAAAACTCCTTTTCCAGCTTCCAAGCTACTAAAATTTGTCAAAGATATCCTATTTAAAGCCTTTTCAGACGAATTTCTAATGACATAAACGGATTTGCTTACAACAGTGCCAGAAGCAATGCAGCAATGCTTCGTATATATACTTATATATATATCTATATCTATTCCTATGGGTAAGTCTGTATCTTTTTAATGTAATAGCTTTTGTAGTATCCATTTGGTGAGATATATGTATGCAGACTTTCTTGTCTCTACAAACCAAATCTATTTGAATCCCCATATATGGAGAATTACTTAAAATGTAAACATTAATATTATGAAATTATTATCTAAATAATAATTAAAATATATGGGGGATTAAGATCCTTTGATATCATCTTCCAGCTTCTGCTTTTTGAGAGTTTTTGAAGCACTGATATTTTCTAATTATATTTATTAATTTTTGCTCTTAGTGCTATATATCTAACTGCCTTTTACTGACAAACATCTTGTTGAGTCCTATACATATTTCTGACTAATGTTATTATCTGTTTGCTGCAGGTAAGGTGTTTCATACTGATGTAAGCAATATCTCTGTATACATGTTTTATCCTTCTTACATATCAGTTAAATGTTACTGTTCCTTGAACTCTATGTATGAGACAGAAGACTGATATAAGATCATGCATGAATAATTTGTCTTTTTCCAAACAAATACAAAAGCAACCAAATTTTTATTTTCAAATATGTTGACATTTTTTAATAAACATTAATTCTCTCTCATATAAATTCTATTCTATTTTTTCATAATCTGGATCAAGGTGAAATACCTTATTTTCCAGAGTGAAAAATCACATAAACTCCTCAATTTCTGCTCCTTAGAGAGCATATATTAGATCTGACTTTCAAGCATAAAATGCACACTGTCGTTTCAAACAAATGTTACCCTCATCTGACAGTGTGACCCCTTATAATTAAGAATGATTGCTAAAATAACCAGATTTCCAATGCAGATTTTGAAAGCAAAGCTAGGAGTGTAATGGCAATACCTGTGAGAAAAGATGAGACAGGAAAATTACATGAATTGAAGACTAAGACTACTCTCAGTAATGTGCAGAATTTCTTCTCAGTGTTAAGGTAATAAAAAACTTCCATTGCGATATATAAAGTCAAAACCAAACTGAAACTTTTTATTTTGGCTTATTGATAAACAATATATATTTTTCCACTCACAGCAATGATTCTGAAGCTGCAATATGCTATTAAGTGATTTGTATATTTTTTTTAACTTTAGATATCGGAAAGCTAATTATTATTATATATGCATAGTGTTAATTTCCTTGGCTTTTATATAAACAAAACCAACAACACTCTGAATCTTTATGAGTGAGACTGAAACAGACAGACAATCTTTTGTCTGGTATTTCACCAATTCTTAAAGTCACTTTTTACCAGGTTACAGAAAAAGACATCTGTAGGAATATCTCTTTTAAGCATTCATATACAAAAGCAGTCTGTGTGATCACACTTCCTTTCACCATAAGGAATTCATAAGCAAATAAGTCTCCCTTATATTCCCTTGGGCAGGTCATGAACAGCTGAATATTTATTTATCATCTGTCACCATACCTGCACTCTTCAGTTCAGCCAATAACATAATGAATTCTAGCTAGTAATCAAATTTTGAAAGATAAAGATAATGGAAGATTCTGTTGGGAAAACCATGCAACAATTTAATAGATTTCATCATCAGAAACTCCAACCTATAACTTATCCTTTATTAATTTCATGTTACTCATGATTGTAATCTCTTGAATGATAATTTTTTTCTTAGAATGTTTACTTCCTGCAAATAACAAGACTATTCTAGAAAACCTTTGTCTACACATTGTTCAGAAACCTTAAGGGAAATGTGAAGTAGGTTCAGTGGTTCTTTTCTCACATGTGGAAATTAATTGACAAGGCTAGGTTAGATTTGAAATTAATAAGGTGTGGTCAAATAACAGCTATGAATAAATTCTTGTTTCAGAGCAAAACATGCCCTTTGGCTGTTATGTAAACATGATTTAAGGCTTTTTCAGCTAAAGATCATTTAAGATCCATTGCAGACCATTATTCTTTTTAACAAAGAAATTATTGGCAATGGCCTACATGGGGTTAAAAAAACTATGTCATTGGTATGCACTACTTAAACAAATTATTTGTTAAAATAGCTCACAGTAAAGGCAGAACACAATAAAGACAATGGTTTAGTGTTGAAGGCTATTTTCCCACATAAATGGACAAAATCTGTGGATTGAGAAAGGATCAGACAATGTTATCCTTTTTGTACTAAATACAATCTGAAAGCACAAAGAACTCTCTTAAAGTCACTGGGACCATCTGTGGAATAAGGATTTGTTTAGGGTATAACCCTCATAAATCTATAGACCTAATCCTAAACATGAAATAGCTTTCACTATTGTCAACAACTAGTCGTGTATAGTCATTCTCTCTCTAGTCCTCCCCATGAAGCAAATTATTAATATGTAAAATATTTTCTCAAATAAAAGTAATTTTGCCACGTCTGTTTGAAAGCCATTGGCATAAAAGTTTAGAGTCATTACCACAATGTTTTAACCTTTAAAGCTCATTTGTAGTTGCTCATTCACACTGTCATCCTACTATGAGTCTGGCAAGAATTTTTTTTCTTACAAAACAGATGCTGTTTCATCTGCACCTGGTCAGATGGCCTGTCCCCTTACCCCCCTACCCATAATTTTTCAGCTATGAATATAATGAATAATATTTGTGTTCTTACCAGACCTCACACTGGAGATCTCTCCTGATTTTCAAACACCTCCATGGTTTATTTTTAGGTACCAGGAATTTAAACTGCACTGGCACTTTTCCACTTAGCCTACATACCTTGGTTTTCTTTGGTGAAGAGCAACCACTGTAAACATTACAGAATTTGTTTGATGGGGCTGATTTGTTTGTTTGTTTCTTCCTTGCATAAGCTTTCCTGAATCTGTAATTCAGTTTCACTTACCTAAAATCTTATTTAGAAAAAGAAGAAAAAAAAAAAAAAAGGAAAACAGAGAAATATGTTGCATAATTTGGTTTATCATGATGCCAGCTTTTAGGTAATTTAATCAGTTTATTGCAGGATATAATTACTGTAAAATGAATACTCAGTGAAATAAAGGTGAGTAAAATACAGGCAGGTTGTTTTTTTCCAGACAGACCATTTTGAAAACATTTGATGACCTCAGTTCCAAAATTGCTGCTGGGTAGTGTTTTCAGTAAAGAAATGTTCTGAGATAGCTATATATTTGTTATGGAATGGTTGGAAAAAAATACAGTGTGAAATTAATTTTGAAATCTTACTTGGGTCTTGCAGAATGATTCAGGCTCATTTTCAAAGTGGATAACATTTAAAGCATTTTATTATCTTATTATCTAATGTCATACATAAAATTTTATAACCATCAGTTTAACATTTTAAAGATTCTTAATATTGTTATAATAAAACTGACTACTGCAGCTAATTTTATATTCCATAATAAAAAAATAAATCTGTGCTGGTAAATCAGTCATCCTTTAAACTCTTAATAAAAGGGAAAAAAAAGCCTGTATTTGTACAGCATTTTGTTCTAAGTGCAGTAATATATAATGTGGTCAATTGCAATATTTAAGTTAAATATTGATTCTTTTTCCTATCTTATTTGCTAAATTAAGTATTGGTTTACACATTTTCCTATAGCTTCATTAAAAACTAAAATGGCAGCAAATACTTGATGATGTTGTAATGTTCTTTAATTTTTCTGATAGGAAAAGACATTTTAGTTTTATCATCCTAAGAACAATAAATAGATGATCTTGTAGAGCACTTATGACAATGGTATTAGAACATCTAGGGTCTACTTTTTCACACAATTATATTTATATAATGAAGTATTATACAAATATGCGTGTTTAACTTTGGTTAATGTATGTATTCAACTGCAACAGCATAAGTCTGTCAGCTTTGGAAACTGTTTAAAGCTTGTGGAGGACAAAATGCTTACAGCATCCATTTATGGCTTGTACTCCTCCTTATGTACTAGCAAGATCCAGATTTTCAGTATCCAGAAGAGGTTCTAGATATCCAAAGCAGCAAGGTTTGCATTTAAGCACTTAAATTACCACAAGGTTTTCAAACTATTACCTCAATCCCTTCATGTGGTAACACCCCTGGTGTGTTTTAATCTTTCAAGATGTTTCCACATCCAAAACTTTCCATATTAAAACCCTTGGGCTCTTATTTCTCCTGTTTAATGTGGGATGACATCCTTTTTAAAAATCCACAGTTGTGTTTGGTTGCTAAGACTTAGGAAAACAAAAGAACAATTCAAAAAGTGCCTAATCCCCCACAGTTCTGTGGGAAGAATACATGCCTGCAAGCTGTTTAAAGTGAGGTCCCCAGTCTGCAAGGTAGTCATAGCTCTGATCCATGTCTGAAGTGTTTGAACCCAACGAGCTGAGGGATCCTGCCAAGGAACCAGTCCCCTCAAATGCATAGGTCTGAAGTGAGTCATAGGGAGGAACGCTAGGATCTGTATTTGCTTCTTCGAGCTTTTCTGAAATGAATTGCCTGAAGATTGCGCTGTCTGGGCCAACCTGCAGAGACTGTCTGTAGAGGCTCTGGATTTCGGAGGCCACCTTCTTCCTAGGTTTGTGTGTTCGCATGACAGTGCGTGTTCTCAGTGCCGAAATATCAAAGGCTTCTGTGTCCTCCTCGCCCCCTCCTTCATCATCATAACTGACAATGTTCTCTCTGAAGTCTTCCATCTTCTCTGAAAAGGGAGGCTTCTTCTGCTGCTGCTGCCTTATAGTTACAATTGCCAAAAAGAACACTGACAAAATAAAAAGGGAAAGGACAAGGGAAAAATTAAGCAGAACTAGAGACTGTGAATGTACTAGGAAAGATTTAAAAAAATCTCTTCTTATCTTAGTATCAAGCCTGTTGAAAAATGAAGCTATCTTAACAAATTTATAGAGCTGTAATTTTATGTATTTTATGGTTTTGAGAGGAGCAATGGGTGTGTTGGAAAATGGCTACAAAGGGACTTATAAAAAAGGCGAATTAAATGGAGCAGTTCTTTTGGTAGATGCAAATTTGAAACTGATGGAAACATAGGTTATGCTTTTTGAAAGTGCTTTTTTATCACAAAATATATCCATTTCACATTCAGAATTTAAATTCTTAATCTTTATCAGTCTCTCTGATAAAAGTCCCATCAAGACTAAATGAAAAATGAGACAATGAGCAAGATATCCTCCTCACCCAGTTGAATCATTCAGTTCCACAAACTATGCAGAATGGTGTTCAACTATTTCTGTTGTGCTCGTTTGTAAATTTGAAGACTCACAAAACTCTGTGTTATTTTACTGCCAAGCATATGAATCAAATGATCTTATTTCTATGTGAAAAGTTTCTTAATTTTTCTTTTAAAACATTATTTTTTAATCCCACATAATTTCATTTTAACTGAACCATCCCTTTGAATTAATCTATGACTTTCAGAGAGATTAAGTCTTTCAGTTTTAACTATATGTTGCTGCAGTTCTACTTAATAAGTATTTTGTGGACTTTAGTTTTTTTACTCAGGACATAAAATGATTCAAGTACTAACAATTGCTTAAGAATATAAAGAACCTGGAGTAGTTATTTTTTCTACATATTTACAATAAATGATTCTATTTGCTTCAGTAATACCAACACAAGTTATGAAAGCACTGAAAGCAATAATTTTTACTATATATTCACAAAACAGGTGGCTTTCCAAATGCTTTGCCTGGTGAACTCTTCTGATGATATACTTTCTACTTGAAATTTAGTTTTCAGAGATAAATTGCAAACTTAATTGATATAGAGCATTTTATTATTTAATTTTAAATTATTACAAAAACACATTCAAAGAATTAAGGAATTTAAAATATGTGTGTTTGTAAAGAGTGTAGTAGATTATGTTTTTTCTTCTTTTGGACTAATATATTTATCTATATCCATGCTTTGACTTTTGTCAAAGTTGCCATGGGCTTATTCCTCCTAGAAAGAGAACATTTCTGCAAGAACTAAAGAAATCATTGATTAATAATTCTCCTGATGGTCTGGATAATGCAGTGGTACAGTTTGCCTGATCCTTAGTCCCTGAAGTCAATAACACAAAGTGAACATATTCAGATACCCTGCAACCATCAATCAAAACTCAAAATGCACACTGACCTGTAAGCTAAAACTGACTAAAAGATATAAGGCAGATGTCTAAACTTAGATTTAAATAAGAAAACTCTGGAAGTGCAGGCAAGCCTAGAAAAAATAAATTAATTTTATTTTATTTCCCATGTCCTCAGTTGGAAACCAGGGCATGGAGGTAGGAAAAGTAGTGCATTCCTGGGGTTTGTGAGTCATTTCTTTGAGTCAAGAAATGGCTGCATCTAGAACGGCCAGCCTTGAGTTGTTGGTTTGGTTTTGAGTGCTGTTTGCCAGCTGTGCACAACCCTTTACAGGGGTACTAGTAAAACTCCTGTGCATTTGAACTACTTTCAATTCTAGTTGTCTCCTCCACAAATTTCCAAATGTATTGCAGGTTAAGCTGGTGTCTCCTGAGAGGAAAAAGAGATGTCCAACCTTTAGAGAAAATGCTGTCTAGAGATGAAACCTTAATTGGCAAAGAAACTCCCTGTGTCTGGAACTTTCTGACTGATGTCAGATTCCCTTTTTATTTTGTTATTCATAATTGATCTCAGTTCTACATTTGCCAATCCTAAGGCAAAATTAGTAGTGTGCTACTTCTTTTAATATATTCCTACATAGCAAATTTTTTGTGCAATGCTGTCTTCAGCTTTACCTGTGATCAATACAGATGTTGGGCTCTGAAATCTTTGCTATTGCAAAGCCAGGAGAGTAAAGAGGAACATGAGTCAACTACACCCAACTTTTAGGAAATTATGTTAGAATTCAAATTTTACTGAAAACTGGGGAAAGGAAGGGAGAAATTATAGTTAAGAAAAGATAAAAGAAACTAAACATTTGCCTTATTTCAATTTTTACCAATGGCCCAGTACTTCCAGTCTTTGAGTCAAGGGTCCATTTTTGCTACTTAACCAATCCCTCTGTAAAAGGAAGCAAAGTAATTTCTTGTACTTACCTAGGAATATTAATATGCAGGCAAAAACAGCAACTAAAGCCTCTGTGCTTAGACCCAAGGAATACATGAAAGCTCCGTATCGGCAGTAGAAGGTGTTAACTTCAGTGTCGCAGTCGCAGACAGTGACAGTGAGAGTATTTGTGCTCGTCAGCGGTGGGGTTCCATTATCCTGAATTAAGATGGGCAAGTAGAAAAAAAACTGCTCTTGCCTGCTGAAACCACTTTTTCGTGTGAAAATTCCAGCTGTGTTATCTAGAAGATAAATTATTATGATTATTTGCATTTATGTATCTTGTAACCACAACAATAATATTTAGTGGAATCTGACCTAGTTAAAAGCAATTGTACTCTGCAAAGCTTTTAACAAAAGTTAAAAACATAAAAGCAAGCACTGAGATTTGGTGCATATTTTGTCAATTGTGAATAAATATTTTTAATTTTGATATATGTACTTCAGGGGCAATAATAAAATTTGACTGAGAAGCTCTGGTTTTAATGTTCAGAGCTAAAGAAATTGACATCTTTTTCAGTACCTGGCACCTGCTCAGACTAATTAATTGGTTCTTAAAATGGTTCCATGTATCCAGCTGCTACCAAGCCAGAAGTTCACAGATAAAATACAGACAGTTTGTCAATCAAAAAAGTTAAAAAGTGTTTCTATCAGCACTTAGTGAAAATGGGTGGCAAGGGAAAGAAGAAAAAGCAAGGAAAAGTCTACTAAAATGGTCTTTTATTTCTTTCCCTGGCAGAAAAACTGGAGCTATCTGGACTTCTACCACCTAAAATGGCAAAGTTCAGAAAGTAACTCAGATAAAATACTGGAGACCTACAGTCTCTTTTTCTCTTTGTTAGGGCTATCACAATTCAACCAGCCGTTTCTGTTCAATGTGGTAGAAAGGGGCAGGTTGAAATCTGATTGCATCATATTCCAAAAAGTTTTGCTTTCCCCATTAGTGGCCACCAAAAGGAACTGAATGGGTTGCTTTGTGTGAGGGTCTTCTTGGGTTTTGGGCAGAGAGAGGAAAGGTGGGAAAGGCTCATGGTTTGTGCACAATTTGACCTTAATATGATAACTTATCTCTTCCTGGAAAGGAGGGAGAGATAAAGATGGGAACTGAAATTCTTATTGATACATTGACTAACTTTGAAGATAATTGAGAAGCAGTTTGCCATTTAGCGTATTTGGAACTTCCCAAAACTTATTTCTATTGATTTGTTCCCTTAGCCAGCACATTCAAATAATTAGCATGGTCAATAAGAACGATGTGTACTTTAATTTAGTCTGGAGAAGCTTTACTTTGTAGTCTCGGCAGACTGACTCTAAATGGTCACCTCCTTGAAATTCCATCATATATCACACCTATATTTTCATCTCAGTCTGGTTTTGCTTGATATTATAAGATTCTATTCCTAGTTATCTGAGTTTATAATGTTGGTCTTGCTGAATTAATGAAATAACAATCCTATACTTATATCAATCTTCTCTTTCTAGTGATCTTATTTCTCAGGCAAATAATTTTAACAAGAAAATTGGACTTGACCACCATATTCAGCATTAAGAAAATAATTTTTAAGAAATACCAGTGTATTTTTCATCTCAGCTGTTTTTTCTTTCCCTGAAATAAAACTGCCTTTTGCTGATTATATTATTGATGTGAAAAGGAAAATAAACTCTTTAGTACTATTGAATTATTGTTTTGAAATGTGTAATTTTCATAACAAAAAATTATATTTAAATAGAAAATTTTAAGAATTTAAGAACCTGTTGGAAGCATGCATCTTCCATCAGGCAGGTCTTAAAAAGCTGCGTGACTGACACTACCTTGATTGTCTTTCACAGTAAAATGTGAGCTGTTTGCGTCCTCCTGAGCCAATGAGAAAAAAAAATGATGACCTTCTGCAGAGTCATCTTGATCCACTGCACTGATGCTTTGAATTAGCTGGAAAAATAAGAGAACAGAGTTGTTTAAGAGTAAAGAATTTCCTTGTCCTTTAAAGCAATAAAAAGGATATTACAGGTACGTTAAACTAAACTATTGATGTTGAAGATGTGATCCGTGTATCTGTACTGAGTGCATAACATTCAAATATTCACCAAATACCCAAATAGGCTTATTGAGATATATATTCTGCAAATACTCTGCTTTAAGTTTTCATCCATTTGAGACAGGCAGGCATTAAAATCTTGAGAAAGTGTTAAATGTTTTCCATATAAAAGGACTAGGAACAAATTAAGTGTCCATATATAAAAAAAATAATACAGAATATTTTGTTCTTTTTTTCTTTTAATCCAAGGTGAACAGTACCCATTCTTTTTGAGTCCACAAACACATTGACATAATTCAACTGGTATATTGTAGCTCCAGTAAGTGACATACATTGCCAAGTTCACATGCTGAATTGTTGATTCTGGATATTATAACAGACTGGTTATGTAAATTTTTTGGCTACTTTTTCTCAGGAAGACAAAATAGCCTTCATTTAGAAATATGTCAAACCAGACAGTCATTGCAAGATAAAATAAAAAATAACACCATTCAAAAGAATGTTTTTCATCTCTGTAAATAAACAATCACATACTTAGCATAATTAGCAGTATTTCTGCTTTAAAAAGTCTATATTTCTTATATTTATCAGTAAATATTTAACTATCAGCATATATTAGTGAACATCCTTGTTGATCAGGAGGAAAGCAAACTGCTGGAAGTCCACCAATTTTCAGAAAAGAGAGGATCAAATTTGAACTTTGGCTATATTTTATCAGTTATCTCATGCTTTGTGTATATTTCTACACAAGAACTTAAATCCTCAAACCACACATCACCTGAATGATACAAGCAGGGCTTTAAGTCAGTGGAAGTGACTACTGCTGCTTTCCATATGTGTCTTTGAAAACTCTTTTCTGGTTAAATCCTTTTTCAAAGATTTAGAACTTCATCACACATTCTTTTACTTTTCAAGCAAGCCAAGTTTGATGAAATCATCGCAGCAGAGTGCAAAATGTGATTTACACACCCAAAGCTTTGTATTCTTAACACTGTTTCCTCTTCATATGTGAAATTTATTTTAAATCTATATTTTCTCTCTATGGAAACATGAGGACACTTGAATTTTTAGGATTTCTTTTTATTGCCATTAATGAGAAGAATAATTTTTTAGTGATGTCATAGTGTACAAAGCAGAGAGATTCTCAAGAGCGTTTTTTTTCTTTCCTCATATCTAACAAAATATCTGAGGTGATACAAATACAGATATAAAAATACAGGTCAAGAAATCAGTGAGGATAAAGTGACATGTAACATTTTCTTAAGTACCACAGGCTTCATTTTTATAAGGAAATGTAGTTCCCAGAATATGCTCAATATGAACAGAAATAGGGTACAAAGTTATATATCTAGTCTAAATTATGAAGAAGGACACATTTTATAATATTTTGTCAGCTACGTCAAAAAACCTAAAAGAGACCATAATGGATTTTCTTGAAAATTTGCTGGTTACATGTCACAGATGAGGATAAGTCTTGGTATGGAGGTATGCCTGTCTTTAAAATTCAAGGTCTATTAAGATGTACTAAATATGAAGAATAATATAATTATCTACAAAGACATCTTGGACACATTTAGTTTGTTTTATTTTGTTTTGTTTTGGTTTTAGTTCAGTTACTTGATAAAGAAAAATTACCTACCTGCATACTAAAAAAAAAGTGATTTTCATTCAACCATGTAGCATCAATGTCTATTGAAAACATATTTTTAGGAGTATATAATGTGTGAAAATCATAAAATTACAGCAGTTGTGAATTATAACTGTTTTGCTATTTCATTACTGATTTCTATACTTTACATACAGAATGTATTTGGCTCTGTACAATTTATCTGTATCTGATTCAATCAATAAAATTCAAAGGAGAATGTAGCTAACTGAAAAAAAAACCCAAACCAACTTCCCTTGCTTTGATCTGCAAAAACCTAAGATTCTTATGGTTGTTTATATATATATATATCCTTGAAGGCATATATATATATATATATATATATGCCTTCAAGGATTCACCTTAGCATAGTCATTAGTCTACAAAATATACAGAGAGCAATAAGTACCTTTGATTTTACTGACTCAGAATAAAAATTACTCAGAGTGAAGGAAACCCTTCTTTTTTTCCTTATTTCCTAGGTTTTTGTAAATATAACCTAGGAGATTCTAGACTTTTACTAGGGGAACTGGCATCACATTCTCAAAAACTGCAATTACTGCTTATGTGTTGAGGCTTACACACCTACATTTTAATGTATAAACAGAAAAACTGTAGTGAATGATTTGTTGCTGTTGCTGAAAAAGTGTAGTGAATTAATTTTTTTTTGCAAGGTTATATCAGTTGCGTTGACATGGCTGAAACTTAATTGCTTGCAAAACTCTTATTTCAAGTCTCATTAATATAGAAGCTTTAAAGGTCCAGCAGTTCATTTAAAAATTAGTATTTCTTTAAAACAGAGATTAATTCACTAGATTATTTTTGAAAAAGTGATTTAAATTTATGATGGTTTTTGAGGACTTAAAGAATGCAGTGAAATATCTCAATGCACTAGTCGAGAAGAAAGCTTTCATAAAATAAGCCACCACAGGAATGGAAAACAGGAAAATGCTCATTTCAGGCCTAAATGGAAGTGAAGATTTAGAATCTGAACATTGGACTAAGCTCCCCTGTGAGGACTTATGCTAAAAGTGTAGATGGCAACAACAGGCGGATACCAGGTGTGGTAATTTAGTTGTGAGTGATCTATCTGAACAAAAATTCCACCCTGGCAAACTGAAAAAGCAAGTAATTCCTTATATGTGTGCCACCCCAGGTTGTTGGAATGGCATCTTGTAAACAAATTATTATATTTGATTGTATTTATTAATCTTGTAAATAAAAAACTGTGAACTATGTAGTAGTTGACTGCCAGGTAATCTTGATAAAACTTAACTGGAAATTTATTTCCTAAACTCCAAATGGTCTTCCTGAATTGGAATTATGGAGAAATCCAAAAGGAAAGGTCAAAGCTTCTTTGTTGCAGTCCTTTCTGCCTCCATTGGCTTTCAACCAAGTTAAATTTAATGCATAAATTTTTAATCTGAACAACAACAGTACTCTTAATTTTGGTGCTAGAGAGCTCTGAGTGTAGAATTTTGAGTCCTTTCTGTGTTAGTTTTACCAATCCCATTAGAGAAATGGAGGGAAGTAGAAACATTTGCCACCTCTCTCTTTCCACTTCAGTTTCTTTGTTATGTTTTCCACAAAACATCCTTCAATAGGAGCTCTGCTGTGGATTATAGGATGTAAGAGACCTAATCACCTGTTTTTTTGTTTTGTTTTTTTTTAGGGGGGAGTACAGAACTGGTTTTGTCCAAATTGGCAGAAGTCTTATAAACAGTAAGACTTTTTCTCAAAAAGTCTTGTAATATTTACTGATCATCAGAGTTTAGAGCAGGTAAAAGATTAAAGTGTTATATAGTCATATAACACTATAGTCAGCACTGCATGTTCCAGGGAGACCTTTTACCTCAGGACCCAGGTTCTCCTGTTGAAAGCTTCTGTTTTGAAAAGCAAATTGGCACAGTATTGAATTTATCTGGGTCTACTGTAAATGTTTCTGTTCAACTATAAATAAAATTGTGTACTTATCTGCAAGGGATTAACATTTACAAAGCTCATACTATGACACTGAGGGGCTCACATGTGCTAGTAAACTTCTCCCACCTGTGCCATTCTGCTAAGAGATAATATTGTGGAATCATTGTCCACATAAAACAGAAAAAGGAATTTTTCCTGGGTCACTGTGCCTACTGTTTCAAAACATCACACGTTACACTCAGTGCATCTGCAGGTATAGCTTGGTGTAAGACTCTGTTATATTATACGTTGCTTTCACAGCTTCATCATATTTTTATACTCTAAATGATACATTAATTGTTGAGGGCTTTTTTAACTTTTTATTTTCTTATCATTTCTGCTCAGATGATTTTTGTAAATGTTGAAGAAAACATGCAATATTAAATAATAAACATTGTCTTACTTCTCACTTTCATTTCTCTGCTAGGAAAAATAATTTTGCACTATGATTTGCTAGAAAAGATCAGTTCTAGCAAACTACTTATTTTTAACATTAATTATATGCTCACAGAATTTGTTTAAAGATTTCCTCTCTTTTCTTCTGTCAACATTTCCTTACGTAGAGAAATAATAACAAATGAGTACTTTTCACTTACACTGTAACTGATTACTATTTTATTATGTGCCAAGTACTGAGTAAATAAATTTTCTTTTTTTTTATCTCTGACTCAAAGTTTCTGCATACTCAATCACTTCTTTGAATCTAATAAAAATTGCTAAGCAAGCTTTAATATTAAAATCACTTCATTGGTGATCCCTAAATTAAAGGAACTCAGAATTACCAGAATAAATATGCATTATAGATGACAATATTAATTCAGACTACAGGTATGTTCAGTATAGTTTATGTTCAGCTGAAATCAGCTTTCTCTCTGATAGGAAGAAAGGTCAATATTCACAAAAGGGCTGAAGTTACCATGCATAGGTACATTATGGATGGTCAGCTTGCTTACATATCATGTTATGATTTTGATACAGTCTACATCAAACTTTCAAGCTGCATCTTCCAGATGAGTTAATTTATTAATATCTTGGGAATTAAGCTTTTTTGAGATCCATTATTGATGAGATGTCTCTAGTGTTACCTTTGAGGTGGATTTGGTGTCTTGATGTTCTGCCTATTTGCAAAAAATTTTTCCTTTGAAGTTTAAAGGTTTATACTTACTGTACACACCAATAAATGGTAAATACAAAAATTTAATAGAACATTGGGGTCATCATTTACTGTGTTTACATGCAGTTATAAAGTCAAAAGTTTTAATCAAAAGGAAATCACAGGATTGAATGCCTTATTAATATTGTTCTATTTGATCTGAGGATAACTAGAGCTGTAGTGGGACAGAAGACTATTTAACAATGCAACTTTCATGTTCTATTCATTTGGAAAACAATTTATAGAATGGTGTCATTGCAGTGAAAGGGTTTTGCAATGTTTTAAAGAAAACTTCATTTGTGGTGTAGTATACAGCTGATTTCTGTATTATAGGACAGTACTAAACTATAACATTAAATGAATAAGAGAAAATCCCATTTAAAATGTCTAATAGACATGATGAATGCATTCAGTATGATGCCAAAAAGACCTATCTGTCTTCTTTACATCCATTTTTATTGTTAAATTTGGATTATAGTCCCACAGACTGAAATCTAATCCTTTTGTTTGAATGATTTTTGGAGGCTAAACTAAACATAGCTGTAACTCACACAAAAACACCATACAGAGGCTTGAAGGTCAGCACTTAGACAATAAAAGCAGACCAAGAATTTTCATAGCCTTTCAGAAAATCCAAAACTTCAAAGCAAGCCCTCTCATCTAGACTGAAGCTATTATTAACTGTATCTGAGTCTGGGTAATTAGGACAACAATTAGCTTTACTCATTATGTGTTTTATATTCTATATCACAAATCAACATCATCTTAGGCTATGTAAAACAACTTAATTGTGACCTCAGTCTAAATTACTTTCACAGTAAATCAGGTTGACACCAAGATAAAGTCTTGATTGAATATGACAATTAATTTTTTAGTGGTATCTTTCGCTCTGCAATGCCTTTCCTTCCTTTTCCCCTAAACACTGTTAACTCATGCAAATATACTTTGGAATGTCCCATGAAATGAGACACAGATCAGCTCAGATCAGGGTAAGAAGTGAATTGCAGAAGTGCAGAACATCTCTGAAAACATCTCTCAGCACAGTGATTCCAGCTTAAAATATATACAGGTGTGATAGGTTAACTATACAATCTTTAATCTCAATTTAACATGTAAGCAAATTCCTTATCTGCCTGAAATTGATTGCAGAAATATGGTTAAGATAAAAGGGTATGTAATATCCTGAATAAGTCCTTTAATTGCTTAAACTAATTCTTCTGAAATGTAAATTTTCTTATTCATTGGACGAGCAGGCCACCTATAAAATCACATTTGAATCTTTTGGATTCTTACTGAGAAAAACAAAGGATATTTTTGCTATGAGTAAAAATTAAAAAAAAAAAGTTAACACCGAAGAAGATACATGAGCTAACAATTCTGTTTTAATCTTAAACACTGAATAAAATATCATAAACTCTGACTGTGATAACAATGCATTTCAGTAGAATTTTCCTGTTGTTCTTCCTAAGATAATTTGTTAATGAGAAAATTATTTAACATTATTGGCAAACTCTCAACAGGCTAAACTAAAGATGCCTGTGATTCTCAAAAACCTATAACAATGAAAATAATGAAAAAAAAAAAAAGTAACTATGCTTTTCTGTAAGGCGAGAAAAATATCACATTCATCCCTCATTCATATATTGAAATGTCAAAGAAGAATTATTCAGTGTACTATACTTAATGAATTTATTGTTATTAACACTACTATTCTTTACAGAAGTTTTATCCAGTGATTCTCAAACTACTTAATATATATATGTAATTGATATTGAAAAGTAGCTACTGATAGGTTAGCATACAGATATTATTTATCATGCAACTATGGAATACTAAAAACCTTGAGAAATAAATCACCTGGGTTTTTATCTCACAGGCAAATCCAAAACATGGATAACAAATATCCATGTTATAAGCATCAATATTTAATTTGTGGTGTCTTGAAGCCAAGGAGCATAAAGTGCAATTGATTTAATGCCTGCACTTTTATCTGTCAATGAGATACCCAAAGAACAATAGAAATGGCTTACTCCAATTATGTCCTAAGCAGAGGTAGCCTTTGCAGACAGGAAGATTTCCAAATGCAGGTCAAAGTAGTTGCTGATAGAGAAACATATCAATGTATGGAAAAGGCCATAAAGAGATCACTTGGGCAACAGGAAAAGCTTTATTTACTGCAGACTAAATGAGGTCAAAATAAACCAAAATAGAATAAAAAGAGAGATTCTTTGACTCAGAAATCAACATAACAAAATGTTTGAACAGAACCATAACAGATATCCCAAAGGTTTTTTTTTATGTCCAATTAATGCTTTAGAGTGGTGGAAAAACATATAGATTTTTCTCTCTATAGATTTTTTTGTTTGTTTGGGTATTTTTGGAGGTTGTTGTTTAGTTTGTATACTTTTATTTGAAAAGGACACAAACCAACCAGTCAGTCAAAAAAAA